AGTAAATAAAAACTGAAACTGAAGTAATACATAAAACTTCTACCCTGAACTGGATCGTAAGAGTAGATGAGTTCGGATGGTGGTCCCACCTGCTAACCTCAACCTTGGAACGGGTACTGACCGTATCCTGAAATAACAACAATGGTGGGTCAACCCCACGAGCAAGTCCTCTCTACTATGACCCAAATCAGAGAATCAAATAAATTAATCATTATGAATCGGTTGAGTACTATATCTGTATACATCCTAAGGGAACTATCCAATGTATAACATGACCTCAACCAGAATAGACGGTGATCACTTAGACTCACACTAGGTGGTTAAGTGTCGCCTTTCCCTACCCGGGAAATCAGCTATTATACATGGTGCACGGTACTGACAACACAGACTATAACGAACTACACAGTAATAACACCTCGCAAAGTACTGATGAATATACTGAGCATATAAATTAGGCAACACATGCCAACAATATTAATAAATATACCGAGTATGTCAATTAGGCAACACATGCCAATAATATTAAACCACATACCCCGACAGCCACACATCTGTCTATAGCAACGAATGCATAAGGTATAAATGAGTCTAAACTTATTAGCCAGCTCATATGGTTCTATATGGCAACACATCCATATAATATAAATGCGACATAATTTGAACAGTCCATTTATTATCTGAAATGCACACAGCATAATAATCATGGTTGATATATGGTTAATAGTATAAATATCCCATAATATATGATGGATGATTTATATGACGATAACCGTGACATTATTATATTTGAACAGTAATAATGAATACCATAAAATAATAACTCCATCTATGGTAATGTTGATAAATAAATCACATTCATATCCGTACGGTAAACGGGCCAATTAAGGTTTAGAAATATTAATCGGCCATAATAATACTTAACGGGTATTAAAATAATAATTTCGTGGCCCGTTAAACCCGTAAATACCAACACAGTACCTAAAAATCCAAGTTTCAGGTTCTGGAATTTACAAAACAGTCCCTAGGGGTATTTTGGACTTTTCCAGTAGCTGTAGAGACCCCACACGCGCCTTCACGTGCCTCCCAGAGCCTCCCCACACGCGCCGCCACTTTTCTCACACGCGCACGCGCTTACACGCGCCTTCACGCGCGTCTAGAACCTCCCAAGCGCCTCCACGCGAGTCTGGCATCAGCCACGCGCGCGCACTAATGGTTCCTGCTGACGTGGCGTGTGCTGGTTGGTCGGTTGTACCGATTCTCCGTGGGCATGCTGCATTGGATTAATCTACTTAATCCAAAGGTTCTTGATCCGGGTGTACTGCAGTATCATGGACTGCAATGCACCGGATCAATCAGACTCTACCAATGGCTAGGATGCACGCGCGCACTAACCTACCATGCGCCGCAGCACACCGGATCACTCCGGTCATCTTCTTCACTGCCGGTGGCCGGAATCCTCGCCGGAGGCTCGCCGGAAATTGCAGAAAAGCCCCGGAAAAATCTAGAAAATTCTAGAAAAATCCCTAAAGCCTTATTTAATTATTTTCAGCTATATTTTAATTACATAGGCTAATAAATAAATAACTAACCTCTTTAATAATTAAAACACATTATTTTAATAAACTAAAAATAATTTATTGAAACTCCTAGCATGGTTTCTAGTCTCTAAAAAAACCCGAAATAAATTAAATGAATAATTTATGGATTCAAAGGGGAAAAGTAGATAATAACTTGCCTTTTTGGATTTAAAATAAATCCGCCGGTCTGCGCGTAGTCGGGTAAATTGCCTACGCCGGTCCAAGCTCCCTTCTTTCTCTCTCTTCCTTTCCACACTTTTACAATGGCTTACTAAAATTTATAATTTGTGTCTAACTCTCTTTTTTTTTTTCTTTTCTAAGGTAGGCTAGCTAATTTATATACAAATTATATAATATAAATATTACAAATATCTAAATTTACATTAAACTCACCACATTCCCAACCATATGGCTTCAATTCCACCCATAAACATTGATGCAATCCTATCATAATCTCTAATTTCATCATGACATTGGTTTAATACTATTATTATTATTATAACTATTATTATTATTAATAAACTTTTATAATTATTATTATTATATTATTATTATTATAAATATTATTATTATATTATTATTTTTATTATATACAAATTAAATACTTTAATTAAATAATAATAATTAATCTAAAACATAACCAATAAAAATTTTCAAAACTAATCATTATACTATATAGAACATAAATCAATATTACATGCACAAATAAATAAAATTAATTAACTAATTTAACATATATAATAAAAAGGTGAATAAATCTACACATTAAAGAATTAACCTAACACAAGATTAATTTAAATGAACTCTTTCAAATTACGGGGTATTACAGATACTTTCACTTGTAAACGCAAAAAGAAAGTTGAGGCATTATTTCGAATCCCACCCTATAGCTGTTCTAACAACTTTTCCAATCAGAGTGCTTATACACAAGCCAGAACTCTCGGGCAGAATGACAAAGTGGTCCATAGAGTTAAGTTCATTTAACATAACGTATGAGCCGAGAACAGCTGTCAAAGGACAAGCGGTAGCCGATTTCCTGCTAGAATGTGACTCTGAGGATACGGAAGAAGACCTTAGGTGCGGCTCTTGGAAACTTTATGTGGATGGCTTCTTTAACCAGATGGGGGCAGGAATTGGGGTTAAACTGCAAACCCCAGAGGGTACTTCTTTGAGTCAAGCACTCAGACTTGAGTTCCGAGCCACTAATAATGAAGCGGAATACGAGGCGTTGCTGAATGGGTTAAAGTTAGCCAGAGAGCTACAGGTCAGAAGTTTGACTGTTTATAGTGACTCACAGTTGACTGTTCGGCAGGTAAATGGTGAGTACGCGACCAAGGATGACACGATAGAGGCATATCGTTCTGCCGTTCTGCATAAAGCCAAGGACTTTGCAAAGATTGAATTCATACAGTTACCGAGGGAACAGAACGCAGATGCGGACCGGTTAGCATGTAGTGCTTCGAGTTCTGGTGAAACATTGGCGAGGGTGATTCCAATAGGAATATTGACCCAGCCATCTATTTTCGAAGAACCTTTGGAATCTGACCCTTGGAAAGTCAATGTCATACCGTACGAACCGAGTTGGATTGACCCCATCATCACTTATATTCGAGATGGCATTTTGCCTATCCAAAGGGATGAAGCTAGGAAAATTAAAAAGAATGCTGTAAAATACGCCATCGTGCATAACCAGCTGTACAGAAGGTCCTACTCTGGCCCATACTTGAAGTGTGTCACCCCCGCAGAGTCGCAGCAGGTGTTGCGAGCTATTCATGAAGGCGTATGTAACAATCATTCTGGGGAAAGATCGTTAGTGCATAAAGCAATGACACAAGGGTATTTCTGGCCAAACATGTCAAGAGATACGGAGAAGTTCTCTCGAAGGTGCGATAAATGCCAACGATATAGACCATTGATCCACCAACCACCTGAGGAATTGCACGTAATGGCCTCGCCATGGCCTTTCGCGCAATGGGGGATGGATGTGGTCGGTCCTCTGCCAATGGCAAGAGCTCAGAACAAGTATGTGCTACTGGCCACGGATTACTTCACTAAGTGGGTGAAAGCAGAACCATATCCAAGCGTGACTCAGACTCATGTGAGACGATTTATTTGGAGCAATATTATCTGCCGTTTCGGCGTTCCAAGGTCAATAGTCATGGATAATGGCACGAACCTCGACAGCAAGCAAGTAAGAGAGCTGCTGGAAGAGTATGGAATTAATCAGAAGTTGGCTGCAGTAAGTCATCCCCAGGCCAATGGACAAGCAGAAATTACAAACAGAACAATTTTCGCCTGCATTAAGAAGAAGCTGGAGGACCATAAAGAGAAGTGGTTGGATGAGCTCCCGAACGTCCTATGGGCTTACAGAACCACCCCAAGGCGGCCGACTGGGGAGAGCCCATTTGCAATGGCATATGGTACCGAGACGGTTATACCGGTTGAACACTTGGTCCCAACTATCAGAAGCTTAACGTGGAGTTGAGATTAGAACGACAGAATGTTAAGATTGAACCTCGATATGATAGACGAAAAGAGGGACGCTACAGCAATAAGGTTAGCATCATACCAGCAAGTATTGGCGAATAGTCACAACAAAAGAATGAAACACAGAGATTTTGCCCTTGGCGATCTGATTCTGAAAAGAAATGTGGGGATAGTCAAAAAATTGATGCCACCCTGGGAAGGCCCATACAGAATTGCGGAAGTCATAGGGAAGGGAGCATATACGTTAGAGACCATGGCGGGAAGATTGGTCAGCAAGCCCTGGAATGCCACGTCTCTGAAGAGGTACTACCAATAAAAGCTAAGTTTCGGCTTTATTGGGTGTTGTTTGTTGTCAATCAAGTACGTATGAATGTGCAAATTCCTGAAATTTATAAAAATAACTTTCCTTGTCAAAGGGTTTTAAAAAAAAATGAAAAGCCAAGTGGCAAGTGGCATTCTAGCCGAGCGCCAGGCACTTAAGCAAGATAAGTGGCAGCTGGCACCATAAGCCGAACGCCAGGCACTTGCTAAAAAATGAAAAGCCAAGTGGCAAGTGGCATTCTAGCCGAGCGCCAGGCACTTAAGCAAGATAAGTGGCAGCTGACACCATAAGCCGAACGCCAGGCACTTGCTAAAAAATGAAAAGCCAAGTGGCAAGTGGCATTCTAGCCGAGCGCTAGGCACTTAAGCAAGATAAGTGGCAGTTGGCACCATAAGCCGAACGCCAGGCACTTGTCAAAAACACGCACACGACAAAGTTAATATAAAAATATATATATATATATTAAAAATGGGTGTGAACAGAGCGTAGCACAAAGAAAAAAGAGAAAAAAAGTTCTGTCATCTCATTCATGATAAGCATTGGAGTTACAAAAAATGAAGTATTCAAGTCACATTGTTACAAAAAAGTATGGAATCGAAGAGTCTGGAGGAGTCCTAGCTAGCTGCCTCAGTACCGACAGCCTCCTGGTTGTGCTGATCCGCCTCCTCGGTCCCGTCAGCCATCTCACCCTCACGAGGTGGGGAATCAAGATGAATAACAGAGTCATTCTGCTGGGGGCCAACGTCAGCAGTGACTATGGGACATACCACAGTTGACGAATGAAGAGCGGTTAGAGGTTGAACAGTAGGAGGAGCTGTAGTGATCCTAGAGGAAGCTGTAGGAGGAGCAGTAGAACAGTATGTGCTCGGCTTCGGTGGGTTCTGGGTCAGCATAGACCCCCAGAGGATCAATCCCTAAATCCTTATCAATCTTAGCCGGAGTTGAGCTGGTCTGTCCCTTAGCCGGAACTCGGTCGGAGAAACCATCTCGGAATCCCTGAGCATATCTAAGAGCTCCGACTCTTGAGAACCGAGCATGAAGAGCCAGCATTCCACCATTCACTCTGCGGATGGTATCAATCAGAGCGTTGCGCTCGTCCAGAGCTCTTTTCTCAAAAGCCATCCGAGCAGACTGTTCATCAGCCAGAAGGCGCTGGAGCTCTGCCTTTTCGTCTCTGATTGAATCACGTTCAGTCTGCCAGACACTCTTCTCAAGCTGGAGGGCATCCTTCTCATCCTGAAGAAAGTCGTTTTCCTTCTTCAGAACATCTCTTTCTTTTTCGATTTCTTGAAGCCGAGCCAATACCTCGGTATTCTTGCTAGCGAGAAGGTCGTTTTCCTTATTAGCCACCTCCAGGCTATCAGAGAACTTACGGGCCCTGGCGTTCCCCATTTCCACCTGCTTCTGCATAGCCATCATACCGAACAAAGTCTGCATAGATATACATGAATATTGGTTAAACCGATAGCCTGGTCGGACGAAGGCAAGACCAAATAGTATGAGAGGATTCATGAGTTAGAAAATAAAAGTCACCTCCATGGCAGATTGGGGAAAGCGGCTGAACACATCCTTTTGGGACAGACCCTTCGCCGCCTTAAGGTCTTTCGGAGTCCACATGCTCCTATAATACGCCATGGCGGTCTGGCCATCCTTTAGCATGGTCTCGTTCGGCTTCACGAACGTCCCATCCGTTCGGGTGTACCGAGGAGCCCATGGTGGTAAAACAGGAAGAGAAGGAGAAGCTGAAGCAGAAGCAGAGGCACCAGCTGCAACAGGCCCGGAGGGGGCAAGAGCTCTGACTGGGCAATGCAAGAGAGCACTCGGCCCAGAGACTCGGGTCCTTCTTATAAGAGGTTCCTCCTCAAGGTTGACTCCACCGTCAGGATGAGGCCTTTTGCCTCGTTCTCTGTCCCGAGCACCCCCAGCGGCAGTAGGGGTAGTAGTGATTAGTGGAGACGCGCTCGGGTTGGTAGCAGAGGTGCTGACAACAGGATCAATAGCCACCGTACTTGGGATGGTGTCAAAGATGGTGGCTGAGGAAGAGGCTGATGCAGGAGAGGAGGTTGCTCCAGCAGCAGAAGTGGCTGGGGGAGTATTTTTCCTCCTACCAAAGGATGGAATCTGAAGCCTGCTCATCGTATAGCCGAGGGATGAGAACGGTAGAAGGTTGTCTGAAGTGAGGAGGTCTGAGCAAGAAGGAATATCGTTCAGAACGTATTTTTTCAAGTAATTACTCCTATCCCTGCAAACACTGTAGCTCAAGTCATCACAAGGTATGCCTAAGGAGCGACATAAGAAAGTACAAAAGCGAGGAACACATGTTTCGCAGGGACAATCGTTTTTATGAAATTTGAATTTCTTATATGAGGAAACAGAACAGACGCCGAAGGCGCTCGGGATTGGGTAATCCTCTACAGCCGGCGAAGACCAGGCCCCACTAACGCCCACAATGTTATCCCTCCAACCCTTTTCAGATTTGATTGTATCCGTACATATGGACATCTTGTCGATCGGGTAGAGGTGGTAGAATGGCTCGTTAGTTCGGATCTTACTGACCTTATAACACAGAAGAAGATCTATGAGGTCAAGGTCCAGACTTCTGTCACGAATCAACAGTAGCATAACGGATATGATTCTAAAGAAATTGGGGTTTACCTGTAGGGGGGATATCCCCAGTCTATTAAAGACATAATTAAAGAAGGGGTGCAGAGGGAACCTAACGACATTCAGTTGAAGGTTTGTAAATAAAACTTCGCCGGGAAGAAGGCCGGCACTGGTCATAATATTAACATCCTTAGGGCAAACCCTAACTTGGATGTTGTCAGGAAGTCTAAGTCTCATACGAAGAACATCTAGATCTACAACCATGGTGGAAGCGATTGAAGGATCTAAAAGGGTAAAAAGAAGTCTGCCGAAAGTAAAAAGGAACAAAACTAACCTCTGAGGTAGAAAGCAACAAAGAGCACTGCAAGATCGCTGGAAGAATGACTCTTGAAGAATTTCACCGGAAGAAATTTAGCACTGTTCTAAAAAGATGAGCGAGAGATTTGACTGATGATGGAGACGGTAAAAAGGCATGAAGTGGTATTCTAGAGCCTTATAAAGGCGAGGTGGACCCGAGGGCCGAAGCGTCAGGAAGGCGAAAAATTCATCGAGCCCCGGAACATTGATTCCGGATCTGACCGTCCGTTCCCCCATATGGGTTTCTCGAGCCGTCAACATCATGATGAGACGCCTTCAATAATTACCCCCTTATTAAACAAGGGGTAATTATGGGGGCAGTTGAGGAGGCCCGAAGTGACATGGGCCGGATATGACCTGCAAATGCGACATCCGATCCGTACAGATGGGTCAAGCTCATAGAAAGACACTGCCATATGGGCCGAACGCGAATAGCCCATCAAAGATGACCAAAACTCACAGAGGAACGGGCCTAGATCTAGCAGTCCATCAATATTTGTAAGTATCTATAAATAGGAGAAGTAATGGATAGAGCAAGAGGGAGATATTTTTTGGGTTGAAATGTAAGAATTCTAGAGAGAGAAAGAGAGGACTAATTTCTTGCATCTTCAAACATATATCAAAAGTAATATAAATCTGCTCAAATTGAATCAAAACTTAGAAATTAGGAAAACCCCTACCTCAATTATAAAGCAAACCCACAAGAAGCCCCAAATTGCCGCGCTCTTTAATTTGCCGTAAACGACACAATCAAACTCCCTATGGTTAGAGCGTAATCAAACTTGAAGTTTAGAAGAAAAGAAAAAGAAAAAGCAAGAAAAGAGAGAGAGAGAGAGAGAGACATGGCCGGGAGAGTGAGAGAGAATAAGACCAAAGTGGTTTCTTGGCCACAAAATTAAAGATTGATGGTGGGTCCCACTTTAAAAATATCTTTTCTTTTCTTTTTAATTTCTACCACCAATATATATATATATATATATATATATATATATATATAATAATTCACAATCACATAAAATATGTAATATAAAATAAATGAGGTGCAACTGGACCCAAATAAAACTCCCGTATGCAACAATTTCTGTAGCAGGTCCCACACGGGACCGTCCTGCCCAAAAAACGAAAAAAAAATGCAAAAATGACCACCAATGCATTTCTAAGAGTCCTGAACCCAAAGAAATACCCCAATTAACTCTCGAACACAACCGGCACACTCCACAGTGTCCGGCATGCAAAACGAGAAAAGATGAAAATACCCTCGAAAAATCAAAAAATTCCAGTAAATGGAAAATGGCGAAAATTAAAAACATTACAAAAAATGTCAGTATAAAACAAGGTGTAAAAGTTACGCCACCAACCCAGTACCACAAAAAAGAAAAAGGTAAAAAGGTAAATAAAATTTAACTTACCCGAGGTTTGAATAACAGTGGGTCCAGCAAACTGAGTCTGCCCTGGCCTCCACGTGACACCATGCACAAGTCTCCACGCCGAGTGTGATACCCCCGGATTTCCGAATGCGGGTTGGCCAGGCCCACGCCCGAATACCCGAGGATATCAAAACAAATTGATAATAAACGAACACAGAATACAAAAGAATAAAGAAGAATAAATAAAATGATGACAAGAAACTAAAATGATAATCTAATAATAAACCTCAGAATATATTTCCATTAATTAATAAACTCTTCTAATACAATTGATCCTCCAAAATACAACTCGGGAATCCATACTGTGTGGACCCCTATAAAATCCAAACTAAACAAATGACAGCAATAAGTGTCTAAATCAGGAAACTGAATCATAAAAGAACTCCTATGTAACATTGGAAGAATGAAGTAGACTGATACCCGCTCAGCACGAACAACATTTACTCCTGACGAACACCTGAAAAATAATGGTGGGTCAGGCCCACAAACAAGTTCTACTCTACTACAGTCCAAGCAGAGATCCGATACACGTATACATCCTAGTCAATCCAACAGTAACTAGTAGTCCGTATATATATATACACACATTAAAGGAACCTCACTAGACTATAGGGTTGTCTCAACCTGAATAGTAGGCAACATGCAAAACGCACATATAGTGGGCATGAGTACCTAAACCTACCAGGGTACACAACTACACTATATCTAGATACACATCCCTGGCAATATACGCACCATAACCACTGATCCTGAGACTCAAGCTCATATCATGGCACTATACTTATATATATATAATCTAGTAACCATCCTATTCAGTATAAATTAATCCTCCATAAGTCATTTAACTTGTTTAGCTGACCTGACTTGAATATAAGTATGACTTAACATTTTAGTTAATCAATTCCCTTATATAATAAATTAATCCTCCATAAGTCATTCAACTTGTTCAGCTGACCTGACTTGAATATAAGTAGGACTTAACATTTTAGTTAATCCATTCCCTTATATAAAATAGGTAGGACTTAACTGATAAATTAATCCGTTCCTAGAATGCCACCGTCCCATACCGGTGCATTAAATCACACAATTCAACAATTGATGTAACGATTAAGGAAATACATCAAACAATCTAGAAATAACTATGATAATATGATATCAAGTTATCACAAAATATGAATGACTTATTATTTATTTAAGTTTCCTATATCATATGTCCTACATAAACTGAATCTTATACATATGATGATATTTTATTATACCGTCAAATAAGCATTCTCCATATCCAATTCATCCTACACATTTAATCTCACTTGTTAAAACATATTAAAAGATTAAATTCATTCGTTTGTTTAAAACATTCAAATAGCAAGCATCATTATGATTGAGTCTATTTAAATTTATTTAAACCCAAACCTAGTTCCTATTTAATGTTCAGGAATCCTAGGCATGTTTCTACGTTCCATCATTCCACAGATATGAAATATACATAATTTAAACATGTAAAAATTTACACCGGAAATCAAATCAAAATTATGCAATTATCAATTCATAACACAAGAACAGATATGAACCAAATTCATAAAACCTATGTTCTAATCCAATTAAACATGCATAATTATTTAATTTTAAGTGATTAATAAATCCTGAAATTTCCTAGGCATGTATAGAAATACGAATCAAAGGGAAAGAGATAGAAGAAGAACTTGCCTTAAACTTTCGGACTGAAAGTTAAACTTCTTCTATCTTGATTTTCTCTCTAAAGGGTTTTCTCCTCATTCCTTCATCTTTCTCCTTCTCTCTCTAACTCTCTCTCTCTAGAATATATTACGTGATATATTTTCACTCCTTTTTCAACCTATAGTTGTGTATTTATAGGCTAAATAATAACCCTATTCCTTTTTCCAATCCAAGTTAACTTAATAAAGAAAAATAAAATATTAAAAAGGTAACTTAAAATATGTTACGTATATAATCTATGTATATCCTCATTAATTAAATAAAATATATACATCAGATTATTTATTAATACTAAAGTTTCCATAATATTAAAAAGTAACTTAAAACATGTTACGTATATAATCTATCTGTATCCTCATTAAATAAATAAAATATATACATCAGATTATTTATTTATACTAAAGTTACCATAATATTAAAAAGTAACTTAAAACATGTTACGTATATAATCTATCTGTATCCTCATTAAATAAATAAAATATATACATCAGATTATTTATTTATACTAAAGTTACCATAATATTAAAAAGGTAACTTAAAACATGTTACGTATAAAATATATGTATATCCTTATTATATAAATATATAAAATATATACATCAGATTATTTATTAATACTAAAGTTACTATAATATTAATAAATTACTTTCCTTTTTATATATATGTATATACATATATATCTATGTATATATGTATACAACTATCCATGGGTAATTATCCATACCCATCCAACCTCCTATCCAAGTAGTTCATGGGACCCAATTAGTTAGCCCATTACCACTAACTATAACCATAAAATAAAATAAAATAAAACATTTAATCATTTAATTTACAATTAATTACAATTAATCAAATACATCATTTAAGCACACAATCTAATTAAACAAATAATACAAATAATACCTAGACAAAATACAAATAACACATAGATAAGTAACCAATTAATCAAGTAACACTTAATTCAATTAAACACATAAACAATTAGTCAAATAATCAATTAAACAATTAAAAAAATACAACAAAAATAAATAAATAAATACCGAGACTATCCTTTTAAAATTAAGGGTATTACACCGAGGCTCATGTCTCCTCAAATGGAACAGATCATCGTCTACAAATAAAACCCGACCGTCAACCAAACCACTGCCCCTAGTTAAAACACGCTCCAACTATATCCCTTCCACGACGCCCCATTCCATCGGATTCCCAACAGGTCCTATGGAATCCCAAGCAAATCGCCCCAGTCAACCAAAGTAAATCGCATCCAAACCCAAATCCAAACAGTACCCAACCAACAGTGAAGAACACCACAAAACCACCAAATCACAATCATCGGCCTATCACATAACACAAATTCACCCAAGACAAACATCCAAAAACCATTTACATAGAAAAAAAACCCAAAGGAAATTAAAACATATGATGCAACAACGGCAGAGAACTCCACCAAATCCAACGGAAGATGGTGAACTTAGTGATCTCAATACGAAACCTAGAATAGCTACAGGCCAACGACATATCAGCAGGATTTGGATCCACACACGCAAAACAGAAATTTCGCAAGAAACCCAAAACATTAAACAGGAATCTCTCAGCCATTAAAAACTCAAACACTCAACTCTAAAAACAGATCCACAACATCAATCAACAAACCATATCCCCAAAAAGATTGCGATGAACACAAACACTCAAACTCTCAATGTAAACGAAACTATCTCTACACAACCTCGAAGACAGCGAGGAAACTCAGCCTTCCCTGGGCCAAAACAATCTGATCAATAATAAATTGAATATTAATTCATTCATGAATTACCAATCTAGTTATGGGATCCGATAGTTAAATAGCGTTATCAAATTCCGTTTATAAGTCTAGGCTAAACATTTCCAAAAACTGAATACAAAAAGTTATGCCCAATGATACGGAATATTTGATTAGATAAGGTATAACTCAAATTCAAATGAGAAATAAAATAAGGGCAAGGGATTTATCTTCCCCAAAATCTCTATGGAATCATAAAAAATCTCTGGTTACCATATGTAACGACAGTTACCATTCCTATAAGAAGAAAACAATATCATTTTGGATCGGGGAGAATCTCGCTTCAATAACTACTACCATTAATGCTTCTATAAAAGAAGTGATCGGTCAACCTAAAAAGGTATGCCATAAATTTCATATGTAATGCTTATCGAATATGGAATCCTCAAGTACTAACTTGATCGTCGGAGTGCACCCGGTCGGCACCACGCCGGTCATCACTTCTCTTGTCTTGCAAGAATCGCCAGGGTTCCGGAGCGTACAGATTCTTGCATCAACAGTTGGCACCGTCCGTGGGAACGAGTACTAATTGCCAGATAAGTTATGACTCCAACGTTCCACACATTTATTATTATATCACAATATTATTTACAATAGGCTTGGCTAATGCCATCATTAGCGGTCTCATGATTTTAAAATTAAATGCTTCCTTTTGCTTCTACTTAGTTGCTTCTTATTATTAGTTAGTCAATTAAATTATATATTCATCACAATATATATATATATATATATATATATATATATATATATATATATATATATATATATATTTGATGCTGAACTAAGTTAATCTCTACAACTAGATAATTCTATTCTAGGCCTCTAGCTATTGTTCAAGTGAAAAATGCAGCTATTGGAGAACCATGGAAGCGAGAATTTGGTTTCAATAGAAAGACCAATCTACTTCCATATAATTAAAAAAAATCAATATACAATGACATAACATATATGCCAATATAGCTTCATAAAAGCACCACAATAGCAAGCAATTTTCAATCCCACTAAAAAAACCCATTATATGTCCTATTGAATTAGAATATAGAACTGAAAAAAGATGCCATTTAGTATACGGTTTACCTCCTACAAAGGATCCTTCATCCAAAATTTCATTTGTCAATCATATTGGCTCTGGCTCACACTTCAATGATGGCGATATGAGGCTCTCCACAAATATTTGTAGGTTAAGAAGAAGTATAAGCCCATGCCGGATGTCCTGAAATCTAAGATCCCTGTGTGTTCTCTCTCTTATGTTGTATAAAACTAACTTCTCAGAGTTTTTCAGGATCAGAACTTCATCATTTTTCAACAAAGACAACAGCTCGATATTATGATAAAACGGAATGTTAATCCCAAATTTAGTCCACGACTGCTTCAACCCATATTCCTTCATTATCCAAAATTCATTACTCGAGCATTTTCTAATACAAAGACATCCTTCAATCACCTCAAGGATGCCATAGGTGGGAGGAGCAGGAGTAAATTCTGCTAATAATTTTCGATCTTTATTTAGACAAACCCAATGAATGGCTCCATTTAATAGTGTCCCCAAACTCAAAAGAGGTTTATGAAAGCCACTGTTGGAAACGGGGGCATTAAAAACATAAACTTTGGATGAGATTTAGAATAAATTCCGCTAATAATTTTTTGCAGATCTCTAGACGAGCGCATTTCTCTCCGTAAAGAGATGAACGTAGTATATTTACTTTCTCAAATCCGTTTCCAGGTGAATGAGAAATTAGCTCCAAAGTATGGGGTTTTGATAAGCTTAAATGGGTATGCAAAATGTGGGAAGCGTTTGTCCCACATGAAAAAAAAAATGTTGAAATAAATTGAAATTTAAATAAGCTAAGTTTAGGATTTGGGCTTGGGCTTGGGCCTAATTGTAAAGTCCAGATTATTCTTTTTTGGAATTTTGAATTGGGCCTAATTTTAGGCTGGGCTTATTTAAATGGGTTTCACAAATGGGTGGGTTTTTTGGGTGGTTGGTTTTTTGAATTCAAAAAACTACTTTTTAGTTTTTCTAAAATGTTACAACTTTTAAATTAAAAAACCATATTTTAGTTTTTCTAAAGGGTTACACCTTTTAAATTAAAAAACTACTTTTTAGTTTTTTCAAAGGGTTACACCTTTTTCCGAACCATCATAACCCATGGTTGCACCCACTCGAAAAGGCACATTGCAACCTATTGGAATGGATGTGTCTATTGGTGAACAGACACCATGTGAACCATTGTAACCTATTGGAATAGATGTGTTTAGTGGTGAACAGACACCATGTGAACCATTGCAACCTATAGGTTGCAATGGTTGTGTCCAATAATGAAGAGATACACCCAATCCGAAAAAGCATTTTTGTTTCTATAAATACCCCCCTTTGGATCATTTGCAAGTTGTTCATTTTCACTTTCTTCTATCTCCCTCTCTAGACTTGAACCCAACCCAAGTGAGTTCAAACCATAGGTTAAGTGGTCCGAACCACTTAGACCCTAATCCAATTTCATCGAGCCATATTAAGATTAGTCCGAACCATGTGATTCGAATTACACCCAATTCAACATTTATATAGCATAGATGCATTTTTGAGTCAGAGAAAGTGTTACACGGAGAAGGTTCGCCGTATCCACGAGTTTGCAGTGCTGCTATTGGTGGATGTAGACCGTTGTATCCTGGGAGATAGACGCCACTGACTCCGTTAGCATCATGGCGGGACGAATCTGTCTTAAGGACATAGTATCCAATACTAGCCTCGGTCCAGGTTCTTTATTTATAATTATTATTTCATTAATTTATTTTGCATATTTAATTAAATATAGAGTTGCATATTTAATTAATGATTTCTTAACATATTGTTAATTATCTCATGACATATTAGTATAAGGTTTGTTATATCTTAAATGTCACATGAAGCATATATTTTTCAAACAATCTTAAGACAGATTCCTTCCTTGCGTAGATTTTATTATATGTTTCTATTTAAGATATAAACAAGTAGATATTATACTAATAGTTGAGATACGATAAAATAATGTTATATACATTATTATATGATAATATATTAAATATTAATGCATTTAATATTATGTGAAATTGAAGCATGTTATATAAGTAGATTATTGAATTATTCAATATTGGTTGAATTATTTAATTTTGTAATATGATATTATGAAGTATATGACATTACCTTAAACATGTACCAACTAGAGGTGGAAAAAGGTACTTCGTTACTTTTATCATTGGTTGCACAAGATACCGTTATGTGTATCTGCCACGAAGCAAAGATGAAACCTTAGAAATGTGACATCATATGAATTATGGAAAGGTTGAAAACCTTTCTATAAATTCTTAAAAGTGTGGGGGTGTCTATTTAAGGTTGCAGATCCTACTCCTATGAAAGGTTAGAGTGGACCTAAAATGTGACAACCTTATAGGTGAGTGTGTCTTGGACGGGTGCAAGAGGCACTAACAGGCTACCACACTAGGCGAGCTACAAGTGCACAGTCCCTACACATAAAACCTTTGATAGGTTATACTCATAACAGTATTGCATATCATTTCCTTGTGCATAAATCATACAATGAAAATAAAGATGAGCTTAGAGGTAGTAAAAAGGCTAAAACGTCTAAATCTTTTATTCCTGATTTTCTAGCATGTTTATTGGAGAATAAGCCACAAAGCTTTAAGGAAGCAAATTCTTCTCTTGATTATTATTATTTCTTATATTAATTATGTGATATAATTAATCATGTGATATAGTATGAAACTATATTGTTATGCAAGTTTAATATTTTTTTATTAAATGTTTACTTTCATTTGATACTATAATATTGAACTATGTAGTTGAATTATTTAATGTGTGTTGTAATTCAAATTTACAACATAATTTATTTAATATGTGATATTATTGAATTTTGTATGAATGGACTAGTCCAACTATGTCAACTCTTCTGATAGTCAAAGGAAAATGATTTATACTAGTGTTTAAGACACGTATAGCTGTAAATGGGCTGAATCAAAGAAAATTTTTTAATAACTCGAAAGAATTTAATGGAAAATGTTATGGATACACTAAGCAAGTACACCAAGACAAGCTAAATCAAGTTAGTTAGCTCTAATATACAATTTAGCTAAAAGCTAAAATGTTATTGAGTTGAAAACTATTAAGCTTAGGTATAAGCTAAAATGATTCATGAGATGCACAGAACCTAAGAGGAAGATGAAAAACTGTCAGTTGGTTCTAGCTCTTAACTTGATAGTAAAAAACATGAGGGTGATGAGTAGCCATTTTAGCCATAAGCTATTTGAGTTATACATCATATCTGCTCATGTAGGAGGGAATAATACTACTTGTAAAGTAGTAGTTTTTGAAGAATATTCTTCAAAACAAATTACTCTACTACCAAGATAGACCACTTAGATAAGTGTGTACTAAAGCTATGAGCTACTAGAATTGCTAGCTAAACAAACTTAACTTCAAGCTAGCGGTAATAACTAAAAAGTGGGTGCTCATCATAACTTAGTAGTGAGATATGAGAAGAATGTGTAATAATACTTGAGAAGTGAATGCTCACTCTGTGGTGATTGTATCCAAAACTTAAATAATAAGATAATTATTTACTTAAATGATTGAGTTATGTGATGTGTGACACATGAAAGGTTATGACATGTTAATATGACTAACTTAACATAAATAACTCAATTCATAAATACAAGAGATGTAGAAGCAAATATTAATTAAAGCCCATATTTCTAGCATTAATTCACAGTAACATCAGTGACATATTATAAAATCAAGTTAGAGATAAAGTGAATACATATGTACTAGAGACTGTTAGACATGCTTGTTGAAAAACGAATATAGAACCTTGGAAAGGTAGATGAGGTGAAATATTTAATATATGGTATTTCAAGAGTTGGAAAACTATAAGAAATATATCATATATAAAATTTCAGGATTATCTCAAAGTTGTGGGGGAATATTGTCCAAATAAGAAATACTTATAAATGTAGGGTTCTTAATCCTAAGAAATTTTGGATAGAACCAAAAATCATTTATGGTATTATAACAATAGTGCATGTTATTTCCTATGAGGAAAATATTATGGAACAACTAGAAAAGTTCTTTTTCCAGCAGAAGAGCTGAGTTATTTGTTCTAGTTGAAGAGTAAAGTGTGCAAGCTTATAAGTCCTTGAGTGGATTAAAGCTAGTACCAAGACAATGACATAAATGTGATGTATAAGTCATTGTATTAATGATATACTAATTAGTATATTTGATATGAAAGATTTAACATCTAATAACATAGTATATTCTCAATAGAATGAGATCGACATAATACTAGTTATGATAACAAAAGCCTAACTAACTTTTGTAGATGTAAATCTCAAATATAAATACTAGACAAAGTATATCATTGGTTGAGATTGCAAGGCATCTTAATAACTGTGTTTAATTGCACATTTTCAATCCAGGATCGGATTACTGAAAAACAATAAATTGGGTAGTTGAGATACACTCTAAATCTAATATTGCATAGATCAAGGTATCTAACTAAATTGGAGGTGTAACAGTGATGCAATCTGGATATGGGATATTAAAGACTTCAAATCCAATAGTGGATATGTCATTTATATTAAAGGTGTAGTTTTATATTCTTAATATAACTCAAAGTTAGAAACTTTGAATAAATCAAATAGGGAAGTCAATAGACTTCACCTAGAGGACAATTCAAAGTAAGTCTACACCTGTGCTACTAAAGAAAATGATATTGCTAACAATAAGTAATTTTAGGGCACAAAGTATACAGTTGCTCTCACCTGGAGAAATCTCTGCAGAGTGTAATATTTCTAAACACAACCTTGTGGCCACATATAAAATTGAAGGTTGTACTAGAAAGCAATTGTACAGTTCATCGAGGGGAATGGGGTTTAAAGCTGAAAGCTAACGAGTCACCTTAATGGAAATCCAACCTAGCTAACTGGAGATCCCAAGATCTAGGTTCAAAGGGACAACAGAAATTCTGAGTGACTCACCAGAAGCACTGGGAAGATATAAATCTTCTACCCATTTCTATGATGAGACAGTGCTACCTACAGCGATGATCAAGATAAGCTACGCTTTTAATGACTCTTATACCTTGAAAATTCAAGTGGGGTTTGGTAGGATACTCTTAATAAGAAGTCACCTATATGAGTGTGAAATGGGGCCGCTTCTATGAGAACTATAAAGGCTAAGTTTTCTAGAGCACTCATTGAATACCAAGACTTGTTCAGGGCCAAAATAAACACAACAATGAGAACTAACTTTGTGAGGAAAGCTACTGTGTGTTTGTTATTGTCTTGGTTTACATAAACGGCTGAACAGTTCAAGACATCGCGTTCACTGGTTAGCCA